CAGGAAGAATGGAGCAGTGAAGATGAATGCATACTGAACTGGAAGTGAAAGAATTGACCTAGAGTGATATAAGATTGAGTATCAATGGACTTGCCTTCCCTTCAAGTATCCGCCGTGTAGAGTAGATTGAACCTAATGTGCTATTTCTGAAATGCAACCTAAATGTACATTTTAATGTGCATTCCTAGTTCAACTAGTCACTGTGCATACTAAGCTAGTAAACAGCATTTCCAGATCATTTCCTCATAGCCATGCATGCGAAACTCGACTAACCCCCAACCTCCATCAATAATAATGACCCCTTTAACCACTAACCATTTACCATACAAACCTCAACCCTTGACCGGGGTTCTTTTCAGAACCACACATTAACCACAACCTGCATGGTGCTATGGCACAAACCCCCAGCCGTTAACAAATAACCTGTAACCTTAAACCATAACCCATTACTTATCCAATGACCAATTTCTTAATTAAACTGAGGAACGTGATCTGTCAAAATGCTGAAAAAGACTGAAAAATTACTTTCTGATTATTTACGTCATTGCACATGATGCGCTCTTTTGTATTAAAAAAATAAACAAAGCATTTCTTGAACTCGTTTGAAATACAAAAATTGCAAAAAAGTTATCACAAAAATCACTGAAAATGCCTCCAAATTGGCAATTTCCACAGTCCAGTTTCTTTTAAGTCCAACTTTGGCCCCCAATGAGAACTGTGCAGGAGTCCCTGGATAAATGAAGGCATAGTTCTCTACAAACAATGGAGATCAACATTGACCTCCGCAGCAGTGGACTCTCAATCTTGACTTTGACTTTGAGAATTATCAAAAAGTAGGGATTTCATGGACATACGATACCAGCTGCAATGTTGGAAAGGAGACTAATAGATCTCTTGGAGAAAATGAAAGGACAGTGGGAAGGAAGAGACCTCAAGGATGCTGAGTGACGCATTGGAAAGAAAACCACTCGATGTCTGGAATCAGTCCTGTAGAAGCTATTCTCTCTCAACCTTAAGGAATATCCAGACAGGTGAGTACGACTTGCTAGTTTACAAATATTACTCGTGTGATAGCACTTCCCCCACAGATTCTGTGTTTTGAGTCACGGTGGCCTAGTCACATGTGGCATTTGCCATTGCTGTCTTAACCTTACACAGCCCTAAAGAGCCACACGTGATAGAAATGCTTGCACCAGTAACGAGCAAGGAATCATGACCACAGGGATATTATGTGCTAGTATGCGTAATGGAGTGTACGGCACATTTTGCATACTCTTCTTCCGGGCTACGTTGTAACTTAATCTATTTCGTGAGGAGGAAGTTTGTTTATTAAGTGCTGGTAAATTTTCAACCCATATTTCTCTTAAATAGACATACTTTTAACATAATTATGGCAATCAGTCACAGGTTAAATCAAACGTAATCTGTGGTGGAAGTGTTGTGAAACAAATACTGACTGCTTTATCATGTGGCGCAGTAAAAATTATCTGAAGGTGATCGAGTGTCATTTCCCAAGGTGAAGTGGTCAGTATTTATATCATAATTTGGTGAACGAAATAAAATAAGATGGTTTTTATCAGACTTTTTGCAACCTAGTTTCTATTCACACAGAAAAAAATTGCCTTTAAGTTCGGTTTCTAGTGCTAAATATTTTACCCCCCAAAGATCTTATGAGCACCTGACGAAAATTGACAGAAAAAGATTTTTGAAAATTCTGTATCTAGATATCTCGGCGTGTTGTTCCTTGTTAACATTTACAGGTGCTTTAAGCACGCACAATGTGCCCTATGCTTGCGTGTATGAAACGCTGGCGTTGTACCATTGAGATGGTGTTTTTCCGAAGTGGGTAAGTTTCACGCTTTCTAATTAATGTATTGATGTCAAATAAAGTAAAAGAAACTTTTCTTTTATAGAAACCACACTCTACTGTGACGAGTGAGCTGAACAGCGGAGATGAAGAAATGAAGGTTTGGTATCAGGTAAGTTACCACCTAAAACTTCCTTTCAAACCAATTCAACCATCACACCATATGGTGTCCTTTGACCCTCTAAATTTCACATTGTTCAATTTTGCATGATTTTGTTTCAGCATCTGCTCAGAAGGTGTGACCGTCAAAGAAGAGGCCGGGGGACAAGATTGCATGTTCACTAAGTGAGGTAACCGCCAAACACCCTGTTTTACAACTATAGCCTTGGTTTCCCAAGTGGGAAAATTTCTTAAAGTCCTAAGAGGACCCAAATCTTCCAATCTGAATATGATTTTAAAGTAAAAGGAACTCTCTTCATTTCTGTAGGAACCACACTCTACTACGACGAGTGAGCTGAAACAGTGGAGACGAGGACAGTGAAGGTTTGGTACAAGGTAAGGTACCACCCAAAAACTTTTTTTAAAAAAACTAATTCAACCATCACACCATATGGTGCCCTTTGACACTTCAAATTTCTCATTGTTTGATGAATTGTGTTTGATTTTGTTTCAGCATCTGCTCAGAAGGTGTGACCGTCCGAGTAGAGGCCGGGGGACAAGATTGCATGTTCACTAAGGTGAGGTAACCATTTTTTTGCAGCTGTGAACATGCACAAGACCCCCCCAGATTGCAGGATTCAT